GGCAGAATGAGCCAGCAGGGTGAGAGGACCAAGGCATGGGAGCCCAAAACCCCAGAGTTCTGGGGGAATAATGTAAGGGGGACATTTGTCCTCACAATTCAAATGATAGGGGAAGCAATGTGGATTAAACAGGGGATGGCAAGAGTAGGTTTGCAGTTGTTCATATGGGAAATAATACAATACTTATTGAACAGTAATATAAGGATAAACTGTTTCACGTGCTCACAACCGTAAGCCCACTTTTGCCCACTCCTGTATTTCTCAAACACTAAAATACTGTCTTTGTAATCCAGCCTTTTATTCCAAAAGCATCCTAAAAATGTTTAGAAAGCCCGCAAGATGCACCTACTATTCCTGTCCCAAAGTTCTGATCTGGGTTTTCATCCATCAATATTTAATTGAAGCAAACAGCCTCTGAAAGCTGGAAGTCAGCCTGCCTGAAGAGAGGCCCCAGGGAATAATTTTTCTGACAAAATTAAACAGGGCACTTACCAAAAATGACAATCAAGAGCAAGATGGGAAGCCCAATCAGAGAGTACAGAGGGGAAGCCACCGATTCCTGCTCGACGTAGAGCTCCAAGTTCCCCAGTTTGACCTAATGGAACAAAAAGTGTTATTAGACCCAATCGAGTTGGGTACCATATCTATTTATACAGTTTTCTCCCCCAAATGGTTTTCCCCAGGATATAAAAAGAGATGGCAAACTAGGTAGGATATCTGAATTCAAGTCCCATCTCTGGGACAGATTAACTATGTGACCTGGAGCCAATGAGTATATTCACTGTGCCTCGGTTTCCAGATATGTCATTTGAGGTGTGCTAGACTAGACCTAGAGATTTTAAATCTTGGTCCATTTTGCCCTGGGGGGTTCAAAGAGGTGGTAACTTGAGGATGAGAAGCCCCTTACCCCTTGACCAAGGAAGCAACTACCTTTTATGTCTTCTACATCTTGCATTTTCTTGGCAGGCCTGTTTTAAATGAAGCGAAGACCAGTTTGGCAACTCTGCCTGAATGATCCCTGAGGGCCTTTACCAATTTTAGTTTTGGGTTATAAAAATTTTGTAAAACTCATAGAGGGAAAAACTCTGTATCAAGCCTTAGTTTTGCATCTACATACACATACATCTTAAGCACATTTCCAACCCCGGAGCAATGCCTGCCCCTCTGGAAGCATCTGGGCAAAGAGGCCAGAGCACAGATGCTGGACCCAGAAAGAGAGCCTGGGTCCTAAATCCCAGCTTCACCACCTGCTCTCCTTACCAGCTGCAGGAGCTTGAGATAGTTATCAACCATCCAATCCCCATTTTCCTTGTCTTTAAACTGGAGCATCGTGGTGAAGACTAACTGTGCTATATTAAGTAACTAAGTGGGCTCATGGCACTCCTGCTCAGAACTCTTTAGTGGCTTCCCAGAGCTCAAAGCCAAGTCCTCACGATGGCCACAAGGTCCTAATGATCTGTCAGCTCTCCCGGCTCCTACCTTAACTCTCCAACTCCCTTAGAATATTCCCTCTTGCCCTCCACTCCAGCCCCACCGGCCTCCTTGTTGCTTCTCAAATGCACCAGGTAGGCTTCCAACTCAGGGCCTTTGCAACCTTCACGTCGCCCACTCTCCCCCAGATGGCCCTTGGTGCATTCCTCTCCTCCTGCTCCGTACTCAAATGTCATCTTTATAGGGAGACCCTTTCTTCCCACCATCATAAAACTGGCCCCACTGCCCCATGTTCCTCCTATTCCCCTTCCTGCTTCAAGTTTCTCCGTAATACTTACCACCACCTAACACATTTAAAAATATATTTTTAATTGATTTTAGAGAGAAAGTAGGAGAGAGAGGGAGAGAGAGACATCGATGTGCAAGAGAAACACAGACCAGCAGCCTCCCGAACCCGTAACCCAGGGCATGTGCCCAGACTGGGAGTCGAACCTGCAACTTTTTTGGCATCTAACACATTTCTAATTTATTTTCTTTGCTTTGTATTTCTTTAGGTAATCTCCATAAAGGAGAGTGGTTTTTATTTGTTTTCTTCTCGGCTGTCCCCAGCCCAGTGCGGGCACTCAGGAACTGTTTCATGAATAATGGAGGATGCTGGCATTTGCTCTTCTCAGCTAACTGGACATGGGGGAGTACTAGTGAGTTTAGTAGTTGTTACTGATTTGATGATGATCATTACCATCTTTACCATACAACAGATGACCGAGGGAGGCTCGGCGAAGCTACGTGACTCATCTAAGGCTCCACAGCTACTAACTGGTGCAGCTGGGACATGAACACATTTTTGTTTTGCCTTCCAGTCTGAAGTTCTTTTTTCCTGTCCTTTATCCGAGTATTTATGACTATAGGTCATAAAGCATTTTTTTTCTGTTATAGACTGTGCAGAGCCTTACATGGCATGAACACTACAAAGGGAGACTTCTAATGTTTCCCTTCCACGTGGCCTCACATCTTTATTGGGGGACATAAATAAACCAGTGGTGGGACCCTCAAACATATCTGGGAAAAGATTAATCACTGTGAGTATGACTTTATGTGGAGGAAGCAGCCCACCACCATAGGCTATCTGGGCTCCGTTAGACGCAAATGCTCCTCTGAGGGTGCTAAAGAGGCCCCCACTTTGGGATTCTGCTAAGACTGTCATCTCTGCATTTGGGAAAAGACTGACAGCTCATTCATCAAGGGGTCTAGAGATTCTGCTTGCAGATGCTACAGTCTCAACGTATGGCTAGAACAAAAGCTATCAAGACTCATTAGCAGCATAGACAATGATGTGTTCACCGCTCTGACATTCAAACAGGCACGTGGATGGGTTCTGGCAGCTATTTCGGAGGAACTGTGCTTGGGCTTGCAATACCAGCTTTGTTCATCTTCTGTTTAAAGTGAAGACCTAAAGACCTGAAAAATATTCCATATTCTATTCTGGCTCTGGTTTCATCAAGGAGTTCCCCTAAATAAGGTAACATGCGGGGCTGTCGGGGGACTTACGTGAACTTTCTTCGACGAGGAGGCAATGCTGCTTGCAGCTCTGATACCTTTAATTTTGCAGAGGATGGTGGTGAGATCTTGAGTCCTGGTAATATTTTCAAAGCTGCAATTTAACTGCTTATTTTCCCCATGGAAGAAAGTGATTTCAATGTCTTTCTTGGAAATGTTGAAGTTATCATTTTCCTTCTGTGAAGAACAAAGCGGAGATGAAGAAATGAAGGTGCGCATGGAGACTCACAAACTAAAGCACACCTTGCAGCCGAGGGCGGCGTAGCCCGCATGAAATGAGAAACGTACCAGGATTTTTACTTCCAGTTCTGTGTCCACCTCGGGGTCAACCCGATAGCCTGTAAACCTGGGGTCCTCCAGGTACTGCAAGCTCCCACAATCCAAGTAGGTCTCCTGCACTCTCAGCTTCACAGTCACATTCGTCCGCACTTTTGAACTCTTTACACCGGGCGCTAAGAAACTGCAGTAATCCGCCATGCAGTGTTCAGAGACCTGCGGGCCAAGGAAAGAGCGTTTTGGAACCTTGTTAATGAATCCCGGCTCTGGGATTTAAGAGCTAAGTGACCCAGGCAACTGAACTTCTTTGGGCCTCTGTTTTCTCATCTGTAAAGTGGGACAGCAATACTGCTCACGTTGCAGGGCTGAATTCACCCTACATCAAATTAAATGAGACGGGGACTCATTAAATTAAATGAGGGCTGCATTAAATGAGATTATCCACACAAACATGCTTAGAATAGTGCCTGGCACACAAATGCTAGCTATTATTAATGTTATTAACAACAATGAAAGCAGCCAAGTTATGCTTTGAGGGGGAAAAACTGTACGCAGAGAGAAGTAGTCTTGAGAAAAGGGAAGACTTTGCACCAATGGACCTGTATGTCCTTCGCTTGGGTCCTTGGAAACTCCCAGAAAGGAGGAAAGGAACCCTCGGCAAGGGCCAGAGCTGGCTGAGTCATGCAGGGGAATCTCCTGCAGGCTTCAGCGGAAATCACTGACCACAAGGAGGAAAAGGCTCCGCAGGCCCAACAGAAAAGAGAGGAACAAAAGTTAAAGGGATAGTGCGTCCCCCGTGGGAAGAATTGCATGAGGCTGTAAACAATGCAGAACGGTGGCCCACTTTACAGGTTTATTTATAAAAGCTAGCAAACATAAATACTGGAATTTTCAGGCCTGCAGAGAGACAGGCAGAGAAGGCTGCTGGGAGCGGGAGGCTGACAAACGTTTTACAGGAGGGCAATAAAACTTGTGGAAAGAAATTTGTCAGGTGGGGAGTTTTCTGCAGTTTTTACCTACTCGCTAATATTGGCATATAAAAGGGGGAAGGAAGAGGCACTAGGTGGGAAAATTGGATGCAAAGGGCCGAGACAAGCAAAGCCTCCATCCGCCGCAACGCCTTTCCAAACCACAGCCCCGTCTTGCGCTCACACTCTGGGGCCCTGATGAAAACCACTAACCCCGCTGCCCCTACTTCTCGGCAGCCAGAACCCCGGCAGGCCGGCTTCGTATTAAAGATGCCTTCTAGAGAGATTATCGGTGACAGGGTCACCCTAACCTCATTATCCTCAACTCTCTCAATTTCCATACTGGTTACCAGCTGCCATTAGCAGAAATGCTCTTTCTGATTAGTTTCCAAGCAACCCCTTGGCCACCTCCGCTGGCCATCTTATCTGCTTTCCCTCCTTAACCCGAAGCTCCTCCGCAGGGTTCCCTCGCGAGCTCTCCTCTCCTTCCTCTGTGCTCTCCCTCCCATCACGCTGTTCCGGGGCTCCTTCTCTTAGCAGCTTGACAAAGATGGCCCAGTCATCTCCAGCTCCACACTGTGTCCGGACCTGCCCTGCTGACAACAGCCCAATGGCCGGCTGAGCCCTCAGACCTGCTCACGTCTCAACCACATCTGGACTTGGCACGAGCATTCTCATTGGTCCCCTGGCCCTTTATCAGTTACTGCCTCTCCACACTATTGCATGAACCATTGCCCAAATAATCCAGAGGGCACCTATATTCATGTCACTGCCTGCTCAAAGACCTCCCACTCTCCCACTGCCTACAGAATTGAGGGCACAGTTTCAGTCTGATACTCCTTGAGAGCCCAGCAGTTTTCCAGCCACCCTTCTTGTTCATTCCCGACCTGTCCTCTGGGTACCAGCTGACACATTCCCATCCCAGGCCTGGCAGTGACCTGTCCTTGTCCTCTGCACCTGAACTGGCCTTCCTGTTCCCACCTATCCAATCCCACCCATCCTGGTCCACTCCGCAGACATTCTTAATCCCATCCATGTGTAATTTCCCTTCCATGTGGAAACACACACGCAGTGCCTTCGTGGATTTACAGGGTTTCTGAGTGGGCCGAGAATCAGAGGACCTAGAATTTGAAGACACCCCAGCTCTCAATATTCAATGCCAGTGTGGATTTGCCATTTCCCTCCATTAAGGCAACATGACCATCTTATTTTTTTCTTTCCCTGCACCCATCAAAATGTTTTGCCCACAGTAGATGCACAATAAGTTTTACTTGATCTAGGGACGGCGCTAGGGAGGGAGAGCAAGTCCACTTACAAATTCAGGCAATGCCTCTGGTCAGAGGGTCAATCTATGCAAACAGCTCAACGGAATGTGTTCACATCCCAGAGACGTGGTCTGGAATCAGATTCAATGTGAGGCTTGGAACTGGCTCTGAAGGGCATCAGCAGGTGGAAGTGTGCATGACAAGGCTGCAAGGATGCCTTAGGAAGGCCTCCTGTATCCAGGCCTGAACCCACACTGGTCCCAAGCAGGGTCCGTGACCACTCAAGACAGCAGCTTGGCAGGAAGTGGTCAGGCTGGGCCCCCCCAGAGGCTGCAGCCTTCACATCTCATTAAGGAAGGAGAGAAAGGGGAAGAGAGACAGGCGAGCACTTGGGAGGAGCTCAGACGTGCACCCAGAGACCACAACCTGTACCTACAATCCATCATTTCTTGTAATGAGGCCCCTGTGTGACTCCTGTTGGTGTAAGAATTGGGTGAGTAGATACCAGACCACTGCGTGGGGAGATAAAAGGCAAGAAGAGGTGAGAGCAGAAGGAAGGGACCAAGACAGGTCAAAGGGATAATAGCAAGAGAGGAAGCCTGTGATAAGGCCTCTGGGACTTGAGCAGGTTGCTGACCCTCTGAACCGCAGCTCTCGCTGTGCATTGGGAACACCACCTACTCTTCACAGAGATGCTATTTTTCTTTACATCATGCCTTCGCCACTCACACAGCATTTTCACACATTTTCACAAACATTGCCTCATTAAAGTGAGCTGCCATAAATCATACACGGAGGAAATGGCAGGTCTTGTCACACCAAGTTCATTCCTCTCTCCTCTGTGCCACAACTCAAAATACTCAACTACAAGCATAAAGTCTTATTATTTTCTTTACAGCACAGATGGCATAGATCATACACAGGTAAGAGCATGTAATGTCACAAGGCACAGACATAAACTATATCCCCCAACGTATTTTAGTGTTATAAAAACAAAACCATCCTTGAAAATAACTACTATTACAAAGCGGCCAAAGACTTACATTTATGTTTCCTTTTAACTCATGTGAAATGATTAAGTTGTCGATTACATCAAAATTTCTGCCCATGATGGTTATATTTTGACCACCACTGCAAGAAAAAAAAGCAACAGTAAGAGTTTCATAGTAAACACACAGGCCTTTTGCATTTATGAACAAAGCTATCGATTTATTCACACTTAACACGAAACTCAGTTATGTTTGAAAGCAAATGAACAAATCTTAATTTCAAATGCAGGACAATTTTAGAAGTCTTTTTAATGATACTGGCTTCAAAGTCATAGTTTTTAAGGTGCATACATATAAAAAATCACATTGAATCCTGTTATAATTTGTAGGAAAATGCCCCAATTCTTTCATGGAATTTTGAGTTTGTTGTGCCATGTTGCCACATATAATCAGATCATCAGCTGTACCTTGAAAAGGTTTCACTAGACAGGATTTTGTTTGATTGCTGCTTAATCTATATGAAGATTCTTCAGTCTAACAATTTTCAAAATCAAACTCCCAACCTACCAATTATATTTCTTTAGGGAGACAGAAAACACTTTGGACAAGGTAAAAATTATAAATGACAGTAGAAGTACATCTTTTTATTTGGTAAGCCATATAAATAACAGTGACATTCTCTCTCTCCAAAACCAAGCCAAATGATTTCACATATTCTCAGCACATAATCACATATAAGCAAAGTGGTCATTAGATGTGGAATACGCAGCTGTTCACAGCTCTGGCTGCCCTCACACCCTCATTCGTGTGGGTCACTAGGCACTCATTCCAAGGTGCAGGAGCCTGGTATGTCATCTGGGCCCACGGCGACAAGACCAGCACGTGGGCACGAGCGGGCTAATTTGTGTAGGGCAGAAGAAAGACACTGAGCCCTGAACCTTCCAGCCACAAGGAGAAAGGGCCCAGTTGGCCTCGTGCCAGCCTATAGTCATTACTAGAAAACCAAGCGAAGCGTGGCCCGTGGCCAGACTGCAGAGCCATGTGCTTGCCCAGGAGTCACCAAGAGACACGAGCTCAGTATGTCATAGGTGAATGGACAGCAAGAAGCCTCTTATTTTATGGCAAAGCAGAACACTGGTGCCTTAGAGCACAGTGCCCTGGGAGCCTGGGCAAGTCATTTGAACACTCTGTGCCGCAGTTTCCTCATCTGCAAAATGGGTCATTCATAGTCGAGTTTTCTTTTTCCGCTTGTGAGTATTAACTGAGTCAATAGATATAACGCACCAGGTACGTGGGAGTGCTGCATCAATGTGTGCTTTTATTTTTAAAAAATATTTTTATTGATTTTTTTAGAGAGGAAGAGAGAGACATCAATGTGAGAGCGAAACATGGATTGGCTGCCTCCTGCACACCCCTTAATCAAGCTCCCAACCGGGGCATGTGCTCTGCCTGGGAATTGAACTGGCAATCTTTTGGTGCACAGGACAATGCCCAACGAACTGAGCCACACCAGCTAGGGCCAATATGTGCTTTTATTTATAGGAAGGAATTAGACCCAGAGCAGGGACTGCCATGCTAGAGCCTCGGTTTGGAAATTTCAATTTTCCTCATGCCACTGTTATGGGCAGAACTGTTGAAGTCCTAACCCCCAGTGCCTCAGAATGTGACTACTTTTGGAGAGAGGGTCTTTAAAGAGGCAATTACGGTTGAATGAGGTCATTTGGGTAGGCCCAATGACTGGTTCCTCACAAAAGGAGGAAATACGGGTGTCAGTTAGCACATGGCTCACCCGTATCCTAGGACACAGGCAGGCACCAGGGGAAGACCATGTGAGGACACAGGGAGGAGAAGGCCATCTCCGGGCCCAGGAGAGAGGCCTCAGGAGAAACCAACCCTGACAGCACCTTGATCTCGGACTTCCAGCCTCCAGAACTTTGATGACATAAATACCTGTTATTGAAGCACCCCGTTGTGGTACTTCGCTATGGCAGCCCTGCAGCCTAATGTATCCACCTCCCACTTAACCTTAAAAAGAATATAAGAAGTGATTTTTTTTTTTTCTATTTAAACAAAGCTTCATCTGTAGTTTCATCTAGACAGTACTTTGAAAATAAGCATCATGCTGTGTTAGGTGAAGAAAATATTTTAGGGTTACAGTCCAAAATCTGAATGTGAATTTAAATTCAACTAGGAAAAACAATTTTTTTCCTTGGACTCATCTGGAAAAATTAATTTCGGAATGTCCATCTCTCATTTAGGGGAAATCTTTGAAATTAAATTCTGCTTTTGATTTAGATAGCTCCCAATATTTCCTCAAATTAATCAAAACAGCTTAGTCTAAAGGTTTTAAAACAAAGGATGTAAGAAAGAAGCAGCTTTGTGTCGTGGGCTTCTGCCCATATCAGATAAGGATAGTGCCGTGAGACACAGCAAAGAGGGTTTTGTGTTCCTACCAGAAATCTAGGCCAAGAATAGTTACTGCAATTGAACAAATATTTTTAAAAGCGAGATTTATACAATCTGAAGAGGAACGAGAGTATGAGCAGACATTTTAGCACTGAGTTTCCTGGCAGCCATGGCAAAGAGTAAAACAAGTTGTGCTCATGGTGGTCACTGTGACAATAGGAAGCAACCTCTTTGTCAGGTATAGGTTTGTTTTCCAGGAATAAATCCTGGGAGGGATTCTGTGAGAGGAACTTAGATGTGACTATTATTTCTATATTAATTTGAGTGAAATCATGATCTTTACGCATCTCACCTTTTTAACCACAGCAAGAGAAAAATATGAATCTAGAAAGTACCTGATCCAGGTGGTAGCAGGATAGATGAGGGAACAGCGTGGCAGAGCAATATAAGACAAAGACCCCAAGGAAGAACAGTTCCCGCCATCGAACTGGATACACACGTCCTTCATTTCTTTTCGGCTTGATGGCAGAGAGAATTTCATATGGGTGTCGTTTAGCACATGGCTCACCCGTATCCTAGAAGGAGGTAGAAACAGAGCTCTTACATGACACAGACACTTAGCACAGCTGGTTATCCAACAGCAGTTCATGAACTAGCAGACAGTTGCAGGCAACTGCTGATTAATCAGGGCCACGTATCCTGTTGGGGTACTATCTGGGGCCGGGTTCCTCTTTCTTTTATGCATTTTTATGTTTTTATTTGCATTTTCCTTAGAAGTAGGGGAAGAAGGAAATGTAACCATTTCCCTAAGAAGCCCCAATAGAAAGTGGAACATGGACAGGGTATTAAGTTACAGTAAGGAATGACTGTTAATTTTGTTGAGGACAATAACGGCACTATCCTTATCTGTTAAAGATGCTACTGAAGTATTTATGAGTGAAAGGGTATGGTGTCTGGGATAGGCTTTGAAAAACTCCAGCTGCCATTCTTCCTTTCCCTGCAAAAATGAGGAGGGATAGATGAAACAAGATTGGCAAGTGTTGGTAAGTTCTGAAGCTGGAGGATGGGTAGAGAGGTTCATACACTCTTCTCTCTTGTGTATGTTTGGAAACATCCATAACGAGAAGCTTAGAAAAAAGAGAAGCCCTAGTCAAGCACCAGAGGGTAGAAGCCAACCCCAAGCAAGAGGGGAGTTCTGCTGTACGCAGAGCAGAGAGCCCCTGCCTGAAGTCCATGCCAAGAGCCCAGGAATCTCAGCGTCCGTCAGCCATCAGAGCCAAGCTGCCTCCCAACTTGCTCCAGACTGAAAACTAGCTGGGACTGTCCTGGGTGCTCCTGACATCTGCAGGGGGTGCCCTTGCCACCCTTCAGGAGTCAAAGCAAAGCCTTCTACAAGATTCCCTCTGGATCCTGCAGCTTCCTCTGTGCATGTCTACAAATCATTAGGACTGGGTTGTGCCTGAGTAATGCTCAGTATAATTATGCCACATGAGAATTTATTATTACAAAGGACATGTGCATGATTATTAACTTTAATGCACATATCCTTTAAGTTGTAATAATAGATTCAAACAGTAAGGCAAATTCGAAAAACACGTGAGTTGGTTTGTACTTACACTACCTCAATTTACATTCTAGCTATTGGAAATTCATCCTAGAGTGGCTGATGATTCTAATTCAAATTCAAACTTGTTTATACAGTTTAGAAAGAAAGAGGTAGAAATGTGGGTCATTCTCACTACCATTCTCATATTTTTCTTTTTTCGAATCATTAGGCTTTTAAAAAATACTATATTAAAAGAGCTTGGGATTGCAGCACGAACTCAGATATAGGATTAACTGGACATTATGTTTACTGCTCGTGAACTTGGGTTCACTACACAAATGTGGTTAGTGAAATGCTACATGCAGAAAGGCCTCTTACTCATTGAGTTTAATAACTGCAGTATCTCAAGACACATTTGGAATTGAAACGAGAGTATAAAGAGTCAGAAACAGGGTAAAGCTCTGAAAAACGACTTACATTCCAGTGAAGCTGATTGCTTTTCAGTGAACACATAGGTGTCTAACTTCAGATTTTGTTACACAGAATGACAGAGTTTTGCAATAAGGTGTTTAGCCAGGATAAATGGCACAAAAATATCTATGTCACACAAATACAGCCACTAATGTGAGCTTGATAATTCTGGTAAGCAGCAGTAGCAGAACAGAGGAAAGCCACTGATGAGCAGTTTTTCCCAAAAGATGACAGACATCCCCAATTCACTACTAGGAGGGGAAGGGGATGGCAGTTATATGTGGCAAATGAATTAAAACAGAAAATCAGTAAATAAGTGTGGCAGATTAAAATGCTGTACAAATCTGTCTTAGTGGTTAAAAAACAAAACACCACGCTTCAGCAGATTGTCTTCAATGCATTCCCATGATGGGGACAAGCTCAGTATTATACTTCATATAGGCTGCAACATCCTTTATTTCAAATTAGCCCAAACTTATAAAAGCCAGCAGGCACAAAACTCAAATGATCTATTGTGTTATTAGTACATCTCTTTTTGGGGGGTGGGGGATGGGTAACATTTATACAAGACTGTCAGAGAGACACTGAAATTTTTTCTCTCTCAAAAGTTTCACTGAAAGGATGGGTTAGGGGAAAAGAAGTCATAGAAATAGTGATGTTCAAGTGGTACACTGACCAGATATTTTTTGTGGTACACTGACCAGATATTTTTTGTGTTTGGGTATTTGTTCTTTCATTTTTTAATAGTAACTTATATTCCATTTAATTATTATTTGGGCCTGAATCCAATCCAATAAAGAGAAGGCTATAAAAAATAAAAAATCAGAAAGTTTCTTTTTTGAATGTTAATCCATCCACTGAAGAGTTACCATATTTTCCCATCAAAATCTGAGGTACTCAGCTACTTTTCTAAGTGGATCTTCTTCAAAATGATATCTGCTGTTCAAAATGCTTGATTTTGTTAATGAAAACAAGTCAAAACCCAAAACAGTCAACATCTGGAAATTATTGTATACTGAGATTTTGGGGGGTAACATGGGACAGAGTCTCTCACAATTGACTCCAAATGTAGTATATAAATTATTTTACTGTTAAAAATTATACTATATCCAATATTCAGAGTAATTGGTCCACTTTGGCACATGGGAATAATTTGACTACATAAAGATTATATTTGGCATAAATTTTAGCATTTCACTACATTACCAAGAATAAATTACTAATATTTAAACTCACACATCCTTTTCACAAGTACTGGTTCCTTTCAGGATCATGACGATGTTATCAGATGCCCGGGTAAAGTTTGCTCCCGTGACTATCACCTTACTTTTCCCTAAGGTTGATATTTTCTGTGGCTCGATGGACTTAACGTAGAAGACCTATCGGAAATAAAAGATTAAAGCACAAGATCAAAGCTAAGAAATGGCATTGCTCCAAAAAATCTGTTTATGCACTGCGGTTCGAAGAAATCACTGGGAAATTACAACATTTTGCAAACACAAGCAGACAGTGTTTAATGAAATCAATGAATTCAAGGAAGAGCGCCGAAGACTCATGTCTCTCAACATGCGACAGCATGAGGTCAAACCAATTAGTCTTTGTCTCACAAGACAGTTGAAAATACAGTTGAAGAGCCTGACATTCTGTCTGAAGAATGAAATAGCACTAGAGGTCTCAAAAATGCTTGCTGCCTTACAGCCCCTGGAGGCTCACAATAACACGAAGGAAAAGACAAGGAGTCCACTGACCATTGGCCAATGACAGCTCATCATTAAGTTAGAATAAATGTCATTTTTGATCAATTTAATTCCCAAGAAAGCAGGTCCTCTTTTTTTGTTTGTTTCAGTTAGGCTATTTGAATCAAGGTGTATACTGCAGGGGAAAAACCTCAAGAAATCGACCTGGCCAGCCATCTAACATCAAGTAGCTGGATGTCTAAGCCATGTGGCCGTTTCTTCTCCACAGTTTGCAGGTACCACCATTTCTTCCTTGGTACCCATGACAACCTTTATCAGGCCTCTCTATCAAGTAAGTTTCCCTTGGAATCACCTGATACCTGGCCCTATATTATACACCTTATTCTCCATTTGCAATGTCTAATCAAATGCCCTTAAAAAAAAAACCAACCAAACACAAAAAAAACCAAGACCTTTTTTCATGGCAAGAACCATTTTCCATTTCAAAGCTAAAACAACCCCGATTTCTTACACTTTTCTCCTATAGATGTACCGTCTATCGTGGTCATGTTGTGGTTCTTCTATAGACCATTTCCAGCAAGTCTGTATGCTCCTGTAACATGGTGACTAAAACAGGACAGAAGGTTCTAAAATTCTGGCCCATATAAAGGACAACAGCTCTTTAGTGTGAGTGAATCATACTCACACTCCTGATACCTGAAAACAACCCCCAGGTCCAGAAACGCATAATCATGTAGAATTTGGCCAAGGCCTAAACACCGAGTGCACCCACTTGGAGGAGGATGTTTAGGGGAAAGACTCTTATGGAGCTGGGAGAGTTTTAGTCACCTCCAGCACCTGCCTGTCACCTGCTTCTTGAAGCAGCCTATTATTCTCGGCTCCTGGTGACACTCACCCAGGTGGCCTTGCTGGGCCACCAGGCCTGCCCTGCCCACTGAAAGGCATGCCTGATCATTCAGCTCCTTGGCAACCCCGGGGGCTAGATGGCAGAGCAGTCACCATCGCTCAGTATCACCATGGACTGGTTTTTCAGATGGAGGCAAATTCATCGTTAATGTCATCACAGCAATGATGTAATGTGACAGAGAATTGATTTCAGTGGCAGAGTTTATTTTAATCACCTGGTAAAGGACTTTAGTCCCATATTTATAGAATCATGAAGGGCCTGAAAGGGTCACTTTAATTATTCTGTTATCCTTGAGTGCATTTTATGGGGGAAATTATCTGCAAGAGTGGTCCTTGGAATGGGGGGATTAGCAGAGACTTAAAGATAAATCCCTTGCAAATGTCAAGTGTGTGTTGTATAGCAAAAGGCTTACTCTTTGCTCTGACATCGTGTCAGCTAAGTGAAGAAGTATTTACTGAACACCTACAGGGTCCCCAGGATGGTGTTAGGGGCCATGGGGGACAGCATGTGTGCACTAGGTCAGGAGTTGGCAAACTACTGGATTTGCTTGTAGCAGCCAAATCCAGTCTATGGCTTGTTCTAATATGGCCCATGAAAAATAGTAAAAAAAAAAAAAAGAGAGAGTAATGTTACATGACATGTGACAATACATGAAATTGAAATTTCGGTGTCCATAAAGAAAGTGTTTTTGAATACAGTCATGCCGACTCATTTATGTGCTGTTTGTGGCTACTTTCGCCTTTTTTTTGTTGTTAATTCTCACCTGAGGATATTTTTTCCATTGATTTTTAGAGAGTGGAAAGGAGGGAGGGAGAGGGAGAGGGGGAGAGAGACATCAATTGGTTGCCTCCTAAACGGATCGAACCTGCAACCCAAGTACGTGCTCTTGACCGGGAATTGAACCTGTGGCCCTTTGGTGTGTGGGCCGATGCTCTACCCACTGAGCCACACCAGCCAGGGCACCTGTGGCTACTTTCACACTACAGAGGCAGAGTTCAAGTGTTACAATAGAGACCTCAGAGCCCACAAAGCCTAAAATATGTATTGTCCTGCTCTTTGTAGAAAAGTTTGCCAACTGCTACACTAGAGGAGTCCACTGTCTTCCTAGGGGGCGAGAGAAACCGTGTGTGTGTTTGGTTTTATGTGAACATCAATCATCAGTGCAGACTCATATTTACATCCAAGCTAAGAACGAGTCCCAGGGTTCTTTCCAGATAGTCCTTTCTGCTTCTTGTATTTATACTGTTGAAGTCAGTTCAAGCAAAATTTTCAAACACGCCAAGTAAACGCTTTCTCTCCCTCTCAGCAGAAGATAAAGAGAGCCTTATAACTAGTGTGCACAAGATTGTAAGGGGTTATAGTTTGCTGCTTAAATGGCTCTACAAACACCATCAGAGGACCTGCCACGTTCGCCTTAACTTTTTATTTCCCCCTGAGTAAAAACAGCCCTGCAACTTCAAAAGGATTTCATTTGAAAACCTTATTGTTTAGAGAAGTTCCCACTGGCTGTCTAGGATGGAATCCAGCCCTGGCCTATCTCATGAAAGCAGATGCTTCTAGTCTGCTTTCAAAGAGGGTCAGATTAGTTGTCCTATGTTTGCGTGGAGAACCTCTCTTAATCTTAATAAGTGAGTCAAAGAGCTACCAAGAGGACCTCATTAAATAAATGGTAGAGGTACACACACACACACACAGGTTGGGCGGCTACATGGCTGTGCTGTATGATTGTAACAATTCTTAGAAACATAACATTTTCTATTTTTACTGATGAAGATTTTAAAAATCCAGTGTAGACAAAAGGCAAGGAATATTTCCCCACAACTGTTTCACACACTTAATATTTTAGATTGCATTTTTGTATTTTAATCAAGTGTTAATTCACAATCTGACATAAAGTAGTGGGCCCCATAAGCTTATACATAGAAGGGTTTGGGTGATTTAAAAACATAATCTAGCTTGATACAAAGACAATTTCTTATAGCCCTACAGTGACACTCTTCCCCATCCTATGTCCAAGGATATCCATATGTCAAATCAAAATGCCATACACTGTAACCCTCACAGCCCTACGGTGTCTGGCAATTAACCTCAGAATAGTCTACTTCCTGTCAGTTACCTTTTAAACACCTAAGAGTTATTTTTAAATGGCTGCACAATTTTAAATTATTTAATAAAATATTATGAACTCCTGTTGCTTACGAGCTTAAAGCACTCCCTGCTTTGTACAAGAAAGCACGTCAGAAACTGGTTAGGTGATTACGGAATACCCAACTAGTTGCACTTTTTCAAAATAGTCACTTAAGTTATTGGAAATAGCACAACCACTAAGAAACAGTTATCTTTGAAAAGGTCTAAGAGGATTACTCCTGACAGTAAGAATACCTTTTGTGAAGTCTGACGTCAACACAATTCAAATTACCATGACATTAATGGAGAAAATACTGCTATGATTGAAAAGAATATTGGAAAGAGGTACATTAGGAAGGCTCAGTTTATTAAGGCCAAATTGTTCTCTATTAATCTGTTAAAAAAAAAATCTGAATATAGCAAAGCTCTCAGTGGGCCTGGACCTGAATCAACGCTCAGTAAAATGTCTCTCAGATTTCTGCTCATGAAATTAGTTCAAACAGGACTGGATAAAAGTCACATGGATTCAAACCCAGCTGGAAATCCGAAACCAAAGGACGTTAGAGAGATGAAAGTAGCCTAACTAATTAAAAGAAAGTGTCCTGTAGGGCTCTATAGGGGTGAGTATTTGGTTCAGAATTATTTAACATCTTTATTAATGACTGAGCAGGACGGAAGCAATATATTAATGAAATGTGTAAATTGAGAAGCGTGGCAACTAGCAGTGGAGATGGTAAAGTATAAAAGGATGTGAGATATGGAAAGAAAACAGCAAAATACAGTCCCACCAAAGAAAAATTAGAGAGTTAAATGGATCGAAAAGGTGATCCATTTGTTGCTCGGGCCCCTGGTACAGACCTTAGGAACTTGAGATGTAACTTCCTGTTGGTCCCAGGAACTGGCAAGAGCGAGAATACCGACTGAGACAGACTTGGGACTTCCAGGGAGGAGGTGACAGACCAAGGGCCTGTGCTGAGATCAAGGCCTACTTCTCTGACCAGGGGACTCTAAGGTGAGGCTGACATGGCCCAGGGTGGGGCTGCCAAGGCCACTCCATAAAGTTGTTACCCTTTGTCAGTGAGCCTTCCTAGTGTGCACTTCGGAACTGGACTGGCCGATTGGACTTGCCCACCAGGACTCCATGACCAGGGAGGGCAGCTCCCCCTCTCCAGCGGAGACCCCTGATTGCAGATCAAACCCAGCCACTCAAAATCCACCCCTCTGCTGGGTTTCAACTTCAGCATGAGACTCTTGCTGCTCCACTCTCCTAAGGGCCTCAGTTTCCCATCTCAGCGTTGGAGAAGATGCTGGCCTTGCCTGGGCCTGACTCTGTTGCTCTGACACACCTCCACCTACCCATCTCCTCCAGAGGCTTTGATTCTAACACACTCCCCTCACGCCTGCCCTGGCTGGAGGCCTCTGTCCCAGCAACCTGCGGCACAGATGGGGCAGGTTTTGGCAGCCAAACACCAAGCGAAGCCAGTATTAGTTTCCTCCCTTCTGGGTTGACTTTTATCATTACTACTACTAGTTTTAATGCTTGTTTATATTTAGCTGGAGTCATATAACGTAGAGTAGTGGTTAAAACTGGGCTCTGACATTAGACTGCCTAGGTTCAAATCTCTTGCCTGTCATTTACTTTCTACTT